TTAAAAAGCTGACGTGAATCCCACGTGACACTTTTAGAGACACGATGTGCCGCCACGTGAGCACCACATTGGAAAAAGAACAAAAATAAGAAAGAAAAAATTGCACTATTCATCGTCTTCTCCACAACTTTATGAAGTACCGTTCATCGTGTTCATCGTCTTCAATCGCTTGACCAAACGCCTCGGATGCTCTTGCTTCGTTGGCCACTGCTACCTAGACATTCGGCGGCTCTCGTCGACGCTTGCCCGACCATCCACGAGCTTCGAAGATCGAGATTAGACCCTTGTTGACACCTAAATTTTGACTAACCATTTAGTGATTAATTGCATAGAAAATTAGGGATTAAATTTTAACCCCTAAACAAAAATATCAAAATCGCATAGCATATAGTTTAGGTTCATATAGGTTAGTCGCATTCCGCATCGGACCGGCGGTGACGAGAAAGCTGAAAATTCATCGCGTAAACCGAGCTCGAGCACTCGGCTCACTCAAGGGATTGGAGGCCAAAATTCACAAGTCTAAAAGGTTTTGGTTGTTTTGATTTGAGCTTAAATTAGCCCGAATTAATTTAGCCCATTTGGAATTAAAATAAAATTAAATGATAAAGCCTAAGTCTAAGCCCATTAGGACTAGGAAGCCCGGTTAATTAACCTAGGGTTGCGATATAAATATGTCGTTATGCGTCATAATCAAAGGAGGCCTCTCATAATTTTCAAGAATACAATTCCTGAGAGCACGAGAGATACACGTGAGCGAGAGTGAGAGCAAGGAGCAAGAGAGAGTCGGTCACGCACGCACCCGCCTCACCGTCGCGCCACCTTGCGACCGTGCCCCCTCGTACTTGCGCCATGACACACCCCGGTTGGCCTGACGAGCAGCTGCTGTCTTGACGAATTGGTTTACTTTGGTCAAATCCAGTAACCATCCCTGCAATTCCAGCGAGTAATCGCAACAGAGCCGACAACCCTGCTACAATAGACTGAGACGACGGCACTTTTTCCTCTCCTCACTGATCCATAGCTGGTTACCATGAGTCCTCCATCACCGAGAAGCCGGCTTATCCAAGTCGAGAGCTGAAAGCCGTGAGTCCAAGAGGTGGGTTTTGTCGCTTTATTCATCACATCTTGGTAACCAGTCAGCAATATTCAGTCAAAGGAAGCCATAGCCGTGACTCCAAGAGAGAATTCCGAAAAAAGAAAAGACAACCAAAAGGGAAGTTGCAATTGAAGACTTCGGTTGGAGCAAGCAATGTCAACATCCACAAATCCGTAAACCCATACCAACACCGCAATACTGGCGACACAGCAGGTTTCCTCGGCGATTGTTTTTTGGTTCTTTTTGCAGGTTCTTTTGGTCGAGCACTCCCCCATCGAGCCATAACCACCGTGAGCCACCACCGCGGCTAGCCGTGTTGGTCATCGTCGGTCATCCGCCATTGGCCATTCCGCGATCCCGATCCGCCGGTGATTCAAATTTGGAAAGTAATCCGCAAATCAGGTAAAAATCTCTATCTGGTATATTTTCAAAATATTTAAATTCTTAGTTTGAATATTTTGAATATTCCGTGAATATTGCGTGATTGATTAGATACCTTAGGATAATATTTGCGATATCCACAATATTCTAAGATACCCTAAATTAGGAATTTTTTCTAATTTGGCAACGTATCTGGACGACTATCCGACCTTATTCATAAGGTAAGATACGCGGCGATATGAAAAATCGTTATCTTATCCATAATCACTTGGATACGATAATAGATTTTATTTGCTTTTCAAATTTGAACAATCAACTTTCTGTCGATATCTATAACCCTATAGATATGACCGTTAGTTTGATTTCTTTGCCTTATCTGAATTTGAAGAATCATGTGGATTGCGTGGATTGTTTGAATGTGATTGTTATCTTTGTTTGATTGTTTTCCTTTTAAATAAAGAAAATCCAAAAAAATTGTTAGTTAGATTTAAATTAGAAATTTTGCATGCTTAAGGAATCCTAAATATATCCAAGAGAGTAAGATAATTATTTGATTTAAATTGGGATTTAGAGTAGCATATTTCCTAGTTTAAATTAGAAATTATTTTAATCTTTGTGGATTATTTAGGATATTTAGATTTCGAATTTCCATGAAAATCCCAAAAAAATGAGTCACTTTAGGACAGATTAAGATAGATTGCATGTTAATTTAGACATTTTTTTAATTCCGAATTTCATTTGAAAATACCAAAAATAAATCATTTGTCCGTCATTAAAATTAGGTCACGTCGTCGCATGACATATAGTTCGTATGCTAGATTGCATTGATCGCATATCATTTTTGCACGTCATTGCATATAGGTTAGTTTGCATTTTAATAAAACGCAAACCCTAAAGAACATCTTGAGTGCCTTGCTTTGTTAATTAGAAATCATATTAGGATTGTCTGTGTGATTTTCTACTTACAATGCAGATGCTAGCGTTGCTCCAAGGTACATCATTCGCCTAATCTTGTAATTTATTTATTTGTTTTCTTGGATGTTAAATTGGTGGTTTGCGCACCCGCATGAACACCTCACATGTTAGTGATTAGGTAATAAAATGGATCCAGACTGCCTGCATAAATATTTTTGAAAAGAAAAGGTACCGAAAGGGCGTTAGACTAGATCTAGCGTAATCAAGTCCCCGAGCTTAGAATCTCTGGTTCGTAGGAATAAAACATATCTCCCTATGTTTTATTTAGGTTTCTAATCGACCTACCACAAATAGATTAGTGGCGACTCCAAGCATGAAAACTTTTGCATGTTAAAAAACTTAAACCTAAGTTGCGAATTGGTAGGGCTTGGGAGGGTCCGAGTTAAGCTTAGTCTTAATAATCCATTAGCCTGGAGAAATTGGAGGTCGCGACAACCCTCAAGCCAAGCTTCGAGCTTGAGTGGCCATGGCTGCTGCGAGCTTCGAAGCTCGACCTTCAAACTGCTTCGAAGCTTGGCCTTGGCCGCTTGCGATCACCCGCGAGCTTCAAAGGTCGAGATCAGACCCTCAAGCCAAGCTTCGAGCTAGAGCGGTCATGGCGGCCATGAGTTTCGAAGCTTGGCCATGGCGGCTTGCAACCACCCATGAGCTTCAAAGCTCAACCTTCAAGTTGCTTCGAAGCTCGGCCTTGGCGGCTTGCAACTACCCGCGAGCTTCGAAGGTCGAGGTTAGACCCTCAAGCCAAGCTTCGAGCTAGAGCGGTTATGGCGGCCGTGAGCTTCGAAGCTTGGGCATAGCGGCTTGCTACCACCCGCAAGCCTCGAAGGTCGAGGTCGCTGGAGAGGCCATGGCGGCCGCTCAAGCTTGACCTTCTTGAAGCTTCGTTTTCTGAGCAAGAAAGTATTGTTCTTGCTCTCGAAGAAGACAACGAACAGTATTTTTTTTTTTCCAAGGCCAAGCTTTGAAGCTCGTGGCCACCATGGCCGTGAGAGCTCAAAGCTTGGCTTGAAGGTCGAGCTTTGAAGCACGCGGCTGCCATGGCCGCTCGAGCTCGAAGCTTGGCTTGATGTTCTGACCTCGATCTTGAAGCTCGTGGATGATTGGGCAAGAGCCACTGGAGGTCTACGTAGCAGTGGGTAGCAAAGCAAGAACGTCAGTGGAATTTGGCCAAGCGATTGAAGACGATGGATGCGATGAACAGTACTTCGCAAAGTTGTGGAGAAGACGATAAACAATGCAATTTTTTCTTTTTTCTTTTTCTAATGTGACGCTCACGTGGTGCCACATTAGAGCCATGTGTCTCTAAAAGTGCCACGTGAGATCCACTTCAGCTTTTTAACAGTAATTTTTGACAGAATTATAACGGAGGGTAAATGTGTCACAATATGTATAGTTTTAGATTTTTGGTGTTATAAAAAAAATTGAAGGGTAAATGTGTCACAATGGGCATAATTTGAAGTTTTTTGTGGTTTTTTTTCCTTTTTATATACTTTTACAAATAAAACAAGCCCAAAAAATTTATAGGAAAAGATAGCTTTTTTAACGGAAAGATGCTTGCCACAAAATGAAGGTCTACTGTTATGAGGAACTAGCATCTTGGACTTTAGCCACATTTGGGACATATTTATAGACAAACCAATTTTTTTTACCACTCATAGCTAGAATTACGGCGAAATGAGACTTTTTACCATACTGTAAGGTACAAAAAAATCTGAAAAAAGAAAATGCAGTCTATGCTTACCACACAATGATCTTTTTTGCCACATTTGACAATAAATTTAAAATGGAATGAGGCTCTTTTTCAATTGGTGAATTAGGTATGTTACCATAAAATTATGTTACCATAAAATTAATATTCACGACGATCGATACAAAATTACCACTAGTAAACGTATTTACCACTTTTGAAATAGAGTTACTACAAAAAAAAATGGGTCGTCTTGGAATGAAAGGGAAGTTGGGACATTCATGCCGTGAAAACAATGAAACTTATCACTATGTCATATAAATAATTTGCAAGGTAATGAGGCCTTTTCTGATGATTTGGACCGGTACACCATGAAGTTCCCCATCAACATTTTTTAATGTGAATTCCAATGTAAAGTTTTCACTATGTATACTTCTAAAACTCTCTTTTTGGTCGAACGTTAATTGAACTAGTGAAATTATGTTGAACATAAACAACTTTTTAACCCAGTCAAATGTTTATAAACTCTTTCTTATAGGTAGTCTTTTATACACGTAAGAGTATTATCTAGAAAAAAAATCACAAGTACATTCTCCAATGCGAAATTCAAAGGACGAATATTAATCAAACCAAAGATTTGTATAAATTATAATGACGGCTAAATTTCATTCTTTTGGATTAACAAAAATCAACATCATTTGTGGGGTGTTCACGAAAATAAATATCAACGTGTCTTAAACCCGCATTGGCGATGATCCATGATTAAAGTCAAATGTGGAGTCCATTTTGAATTAACAAAAAAATCAACATTATTTATTGGGTGTTTACGAAAAAACATATCAATGTGTTAATGTCCGTAACTCTTTTATGTACTTATTTTTTGGGCCGGGCTTTTTTCCATTGAATTTTGACTATATTATTCCTTATGAATCCCAATTTTTAGCAAATTATACCCGCACGGGCGACGATTAAAATTAAGCCCCCAGCAAAAGCACATAGCCTTTAGTTTTACTTTACTCGCCACTCCCTCTATCAAGCATCTCCTTGTATCTCATGAAGGAATTCAGCCTCTCCAACTTCAGTTCCTGCTTGAACCTGTTGATGAATTCCTTGGCCCTCGCGTCAATTTCCTGTTCGTCCACCTCGTCACTCGCCTTGCCCTTCCCTTTTCTCTCCGTTGCTAGCAGACGTGACTCCACAATGTCGTCCTCTTCAACTTCTACTTCTTGCCCTTCTGGTTCTTCACATTCAGCCTCAGCTTGGGGAGGCGCTGAGGGAGCGGAGGCTGATGCAGATAAAGAAAATGGCGGAGAAGCAGAGCTTATCCATCTCCCAAGCAGACGAAGAAAATGGGGAAGCTCCACGGTGGCCTCTCTCGGATGATCATCGAGAACAACCGCAGGCTCGGGCAGTCGACGCTGCGGCGGACTGGGTTCATGGCCCAGGACGACGTGCTGTACCTGCACCTGACCATGTGGGAGAAGCTTGTGTTGTGCGTGCTTCTCTGGTTGCCGCGGGCAATGGGGAAGAGGTCCAGGGCCACAACCTCCTTGTAGATCTTCGACCTCCACGGCCTTGGCCACCGGAGAGAGAGAGAGAGAGATATAATTACTTACATCCTCTATGTAAAAATATGTCAATAAAATCACCAATTCTTTGGTATATAAAGAGATGATTTTTACTCTACGACTAATCAAAGCCGTGATTTTTATTCTGAGACTAATCAAATAACAAATTCACCACAGAAGGGAGCTGTTAAGGATAGAAATTAATGAGAAGAAATTGATATAGTGCGATTAGAGCTGTGAGATTGTGGGACCATTGCCAATTATTCTAAAAACTTCAACTGTTAGATGAAGACGTGATTTATCATTTAAATATTCTAACACTCCCCCTCACATGTAGGCTAGACTTTGGCAATGTGGAAATATTCAATTGGATAGGCAAATAGGAATAAGAAAGATTTGAACTCAAAACCTCCTGCTATGATAATGTAAGATATTATGTGGCCACTACTAATTGTTTTAAAAGCTTAAGTTATTTGATGAAGGCATGATTTATCATTTAAAAATTTTAACAAGAGCAATGATGAACAAGAGGCTCATCTTTATTTTCTAAATAGTAGTGTACGATTTGAATTTAAAGAAAACTCATCATAAGAAAGTAATTAAATTGAAAGAAACAAGCAAATATGAAAACAATCAAGGGCAATTTTGTCTATCTAGTAAAAATGAAGTGAATTTAGTCATAGAAAGTGTGAAAATAGCCTCATCCAATTTTTATAGGTACATTTTCATATAGTTTTTTAAATTTATTAATAAGTGATGATCATTTCTCGCATGTTTGTTTGTGCTTCAGCAAAAGCAAAAAAGCAACCTTCTGCGAAATTTAAAATGTTCTTCGAAGTTCAAAAAATTGTAAAAAAATCATATGTGAATCTACTTATCAAAATTGTATATCATCAAAATTTTAGGTATTACGGAGAAAAAGTCATCATGTACCTCCTTCGGAGAGTCTTCATCCTTGCGTTCACCTACATGCAGCTTCTCTAAGGATGATCTTATTTCTTGCAGACCTTGAATATTTTTAATCTCCCTGCATCGGCGGATTTCTAAAATTTTCAACATCCTCAGATTTGATATGTTAGGCAACTCACGGAGATGATCACAGTCCGAAAGCGTCAAACTTATCAAGGAAGTTAACTGGCCAAGCCCTTTGAGATTCCGTATTTCGCAGTGAGATATATCTATGATCTCCAGGGCTCCTAGCTCTCCAAGCCCTTCAACCTCTCTGACTGCAGAGTGTGAGAGCTGTAATTCGGTCAAACCTTTCAAACATTGAACAGTCGGCAATCTTTTCAATGATAAACAGCCTCGAACTGAGAGGAACAACAATGTCAACGGAAGTTGCAGAATTCTCCTGAGGTTTGCGCCTGACACGACAAGTTTCGTGAGCTGAGGGAGATGTTCGTCCCTCAACCAAAGGTCCGTGATCCGTGAATGAGACAACTCCAACACCTTCAGCCTTGAAAACCTTTTGGGCCAAAGAAAGGAGAGAACCCTCACCCTGGTCATCATCCTCTGCGTTGAGGGTAGTTTTATTTCCTCGAAATCTTCATCGCCAAGGCACAACTCTTCCAACTTTGTCAAGTTATCAATAAATGGCACGACCTTCATGTTCCTAGAGATCACATGCAAGTGAGTCAAGCTAGAGGGGAGTATTGGCAATGCTTCAATTCTGTTGCAGTGAAGTAAATCAAGGGTCTGAAGACAGCAAAGCGACTGGATGCACGGCGGCAAGCTCGAAATACCAGTATATCCTAGAACCAATGTCCTCAGAGATTTCAATTCCCCGATATCACTTGGAATGTCCCCTTCCAAGCTCCTACACCGCAAGGCATGCATCTCTTCGAGGTTGGTTAGCCTTCCAATATCGTGAGGGAATTCTCTTATGAAACAAGAGTCCATTTTCAGTACTTTCAAGCTCCGTAGGTTCCTGATCGAAGCTGGCAATTTAGAAATACCTGTCTCTGACACATCCAGCTCGAACAATGTGCTTCCCAATTTGCCGATCGAGTCTGGAAGCTCCCCTAGACAACGACAGTTTCTCAAAGATAACTGCTTCAGTTGCACCAGCTCTCCAATTGAGTCGGGGAGTTCAACAATTTTTGAACTGTCCAGCAAGAGCACCGAAAGAGCTTCCAGCTGACCGATTGATTCGGGCAGGCCCCTCAGAGAGAAGCAATTGGAGGCACTGAGAATTTTAAGTTTCTTCATATTGGCTAGGGCACTGGGAATTTCCTTTATAGAAGTTCCATCTATTAGAAGCTCTCTCATTTCTTTCATATCGTTAAGTTCTTTCGGCAACATGCTGAGTTCAGCGCAGAACTTCAAATTCAGGGTGACTAAGCACTTTAGCTGAGCAATTGAAGCATCAATATTCACCAATCGAGAACAATGCTCGAGAATCAATATCTCCAACTTCTCGAAACCAGAGAGATCAGGAGTCATCAATAGGCCGGTACATCCCGTTAGGTTTAGAATTCTCAACTGTGGCATCTGCAAAACAAAAGAAATATCCAGATAAAGTTGACATCAAATTGAATCAAACCAAAAAATCTCTTCATAGCTACCTTGATTTGACTCCACCCTTTCCAGTCATGCGCAACCTTACTCCATGACAAATCAAGAATGACCAACTCTTTTAGATGCAAATCACAAGCTCCAAATGTCTCAGGACACCCTTGCCAATCAAGCCACCTTAAATTCGATAGGGCATTCTTAGAGTCTCCTATGATTCTAGCTTTACCCAATTTGAGGAACCTCAAGTCTGGCAGAAGTTCAAATTCTTCACATGTAAAGCAGTCCTGGCGACTGTTATCAAACTTGAGATTGAGGGCTTCAACCAATTTAGTTCCCTGTCAAATGAAACAATAAGTGAATACAACAATATCGTCCTCGCATATCAGTAGATGTCAATCTGCAGTACTTTAAGTATGACATTGAGCCGAGTAAACAAGCGAACTACATATAACTTGCTCAACTCTAGAAATCGTTTTATCACTCCCAGGCGTACCTTCCTTTCCTTCAACAATGATACTGCATCCTCATAATTCCATAGCCTACTGTGCCTTTCAGGACTTTTGGGATCCCCATTGCAGACGAATTGCTGACAAAGATTTCTCAGCTCATCATGCATCCATAGTTTGTTATTTTCTCCAATTTGCACCAAAGACATGTCGAGCAAAACTTTGATTCCACTGAGAGGATCATAGCCGCAAGCACACCACATGAAAAAGGGTTTGGCAATATCCTTTCCAACAAAGAAACACGCTATATCCAATAGCATTTCTTTGGTCTTATCATTAAGACACACAAAGCTTGCTGTCAACATGCCTTCGACTGGATCATCAAGCATTCTCAATTTCTTCAAGATTCCATGCCATAGTTTTGTGGGCATCCTGCATACAATTGGAGCTAGAACCTCGATTGCCAAAGGAATTCGTCCAGTCACAGATATAATTTCATCGAACAGAGAATCATAGCCCTCTTGGAAAGGCAGGACATCAGAAGCATGCCTCCGAAAGAGAAAAAGAGCTTGATCAGGTTTCAGAGGTTCGACTTCATATCTTTCTGCCACTTCAGGGACATTGATAAGACCATAATCTCGTGTGGTCACAATGATCCTACTTCTTGGACCAAACCAACTGAGCTTCCCAATGAATGGTTCGAGTTCGGAATGGTGATTGACATCATCAAGGATAATAAGAACTCTCATGCTATGAAATCTATGTCTGATGATGTGCGCACCTTCTTCATAAGTAAACTTTGGGCAGCTTCGCTTTAGCAGATCGGAAATCAACTGATTTTGCAAAGACTTGAGTCCTTCAGATTGTGTATACCTTTCTCGAATGTCCTCAAGATAGCTACAGCCATCAAAGAGAGAAGCAATGTCTTTATAAACAGCCTTTGCAAGAGTTGTCTTGCCAACCCCACCAGTGCCATAGATTCCAACTACTCGGACATCCCCACCATGTAACCCAACTGCTTGTCCATCGTTATAGTAAACACCAAGCTTTGTCATGACCTCTCGTACTCGATCCTGAATTCCGACCAAATTCTCCTTAATGTCCCGCTTACCGAACAGTTGCAGCACATCTAAGTGGAGTTGCTTTAAAAGCTTGAAACTAGACCTGCTAAATTTGAATTAGGGACAGGATTAGGAATTAAGAATCAATTTGGCAGTTGGAAAGAGAGCAAGCGGAAATGAGTTAAATTATGCACTCAATTGGGCTATCGGATCAAAGCAAATCATGAAAAGAGTGAAGGACGGATGGGTTTCATTGCGTGACCAATATCTTGTGAATGTAACGATTGCAGACGGCATGTTCAATCAAAACCATTCTTCTCTCTGTCAGAAGACTATGAATTCTATTATAGACAAGGTCCTAAGAAAATATCAAGTGAAATCAGCTAGAATTGAATTACCAAGAATTGTTGTCTGCAGAGTAAAATCTCTCCAAACCCCCAACCTCACGAAGAGCCCTTCCCCATGCATGGATTGTCCGGCCATCTGTTCCCTTCATCTCGTGGTCCTTCAAGGACATTTCGAAAGAACCCCTGACGTGTCGAACATCCGATGGATCGACGTCGTAAAAAATGGGAATGATCGTCTGGCCGTCTGTTCTTCTGCACTCCAACATTACCCCCAACTCCACGAGGCAACCTCTGGAGGAAGCGTAGCCTTTGGAGATGATTGGAATCGATACGCCCGATCGCTTGATCACTTCAACTAGGTCTTCCCCTTCAGGCAGCTTTTTCCCATCTCCAAAGACCCAGATCCCGGATCTCGTGAGTTGAGCCATCAGGAAGTCTATAAATACATCAGGGATGTCTGGTCCTCTGTTGAAACTCAAGAAAACACGCGACTCTTTCTTAGCCAAGGTAGAGATCGACGAGGAGGATCCTCCCTGTAGAAAAAGGGGCCAAAAAAAAAAAAAAAGGGGCTCAAGGGACTCCACCACAACAAACATAATTCAGATCGAAAGCGTAAATTGACATCGCGGAACCTCCATGCTCGCTGTATCCGGGCCGTCCCGCTCCAGCGTTTCTAACCGGCTGTAAAAGGCGAGCAGAGTCCAAACCGCAAGGGCCAAAGCATAAGTCTCCATCCTCGGATCATGAAGTGCAAAATACCCAAACAGGCTTATGCCCAAGTCTCGCAGCAGCTCCGCGCCGCCGGTGAACTTCCCCCCGGGGAGGACACGAAGCACCCATAACGCGACCCAGACCGCCAACAAGAAACCATGTGTCTCCACGTCTAGGTACCTTAATACCATGGAGAAGGCCAAAACCATCACGGCTGACCACATCAGCTTGCCCAGGCCCGTGCTCCTTCTCCTGATTCGGCCATCTAAGGCGGATGCAACCGCGCAAACCGCGAGCGCCAACACCCGCCCCTTCATCGGCTGATCATCAAATGCAAGACCTACGGCCAAAACCGCCAAAATCACAACCGTGGTCAACGGTATACGATCCATCTCTCTCTCTCTGTCTGTCTCTCTCTCTGTGGGACTCCGTGTGTTTATGATTCTCTCCGCCTAATCAAATGACACCGGACATCTTCCCACACGTTTCTCTCTCTCTCTCTCTCTCTCTCTCTCTCTGTTGTGCGGACATGTGAAAGGAAGGGATTGCTCGGCTGCAGAAACGGAGCGAGCCGGTCATTGACTAGGGCTTCTCTTTGCAAGTCTCCGTCCCCACCATTTCCAGATTAAAAAAATATATAAAAATATTAATGATTATAGACGTCGATCTCTTTCCTATTATGCATTTCCTCCGATTTTAAACTTTTGCTATTGAGAAAATTTAAAAAATAGCTCTTCTTTATCGTCGCTTCGATAGCAACTTTTATCCGCTCTTTGTCACTCCTACCTTAGAGGCTTGTTTCTGTTTGCGTTTTTGCTTTTGTGGTGAATTAATTTGTTATTTGATTAGTCCGGAAAAAAAAATATATCAAATCTTCTTTTTTACTGTATCAAAGAATTGATGATTGTTTTCCATTATCCATCACGCACTTTTATAAGAAGTTGTAAAGGTATCTAAAAAAAGCTAAAAACCATGACCTATAAAGATTATACATATTGAGGCACTTTATTAATATTTTTTCGTAAACTTTCCATAAATGATATTTATTTTTGTCGACATGAAATGAATGAAATTTAACAGTCATTGTAAATTATTTTCATATTTTATGCAAAGCTTTGGTTTAATTGAATTTTCATCTTTACATTTTCCATTGAGATTGTAATTGTGATTTTATTTTGACAAAATCTTTAAAGAGAGCTTTTTTTTTTTGTCTCATCCAGTCATCCCATTACAGTACACAAAAGACAACTCATAAGAAAGAATTTGATGATGATAGACACCAGAAAAATAAAAGTTTGTAAACATTTGATTGGGTTAAAAAGTAGTTAATGCTCAAAATTTTCTCGATTCTACTTGACGTTAATCTATAAATTTTCTTGACAATTTGGAAAAAAATTATTGAAGATTTCTCTCTTCAACAAAGCTAATATGTAATCAAGTAAAATATAAAAATGAAAAGAAGGAAACATAGTGCTTTTCGTGTACACATTAATATCCTCTTAAAAATATAAAATAAACATGTGATATCCTTAATTATAGCAATAGGATCGTACCAAGAAATGGAAAAACTTAAAAAAAAGAAATAACGTAAATAATTTGAGGTCCACCGCTTAAATTTCAACTAAATTATTAGGGTTGAAATAGCCCCACCAGTCACGAATTGGTCTAATATTAATACCGGTTATGTACTGTAACAACCCGAATTTCGATATAATTCCGGGATCAATAAAATTGACATTATTTCGCATTTCATTTTAGTAAGTCTCGCCCAGAGCTGATCACTCTTGGGATACTAACCAATGGGGTATGGCTAATTAGGAAACGGTAAGTGGACCAAGGACCCAATCGCGAAGCGGACACCGATCACGAGAAATGATGAGAGAATATTATGAACCAATGTGGATCGATCTTAGGAAAGGTGACGGATTTGGTTTGGCCAAGGCCAACGATGTACAATCGGATCGCAGGTGATTCTGCATGACCGAGAGTGCACGTGGTCAACCAGTCCTAAACTTAAACCGGACGATCGTGACTTCTGGGACTAGTGATAATTTCTCATTCTCTCAATGATCGGACCATTATGACTTGGATAACCCTAGGTCGATACGCGTAACCTCTAAACAGCCGCCCGTTAGTGAGAGACCCTGAAATAGGAAATTTAGCGAGTTTTGGTCACGAAATTGAACCCGGACTTCGGTGTCGATCTTCGAGGACTTGTACAGCTATTTTCATGATTCTGACGTCATATTATGCTGGCCACGCACGTTTGGGGATAGTACGGTCAAAAAATGAAATTTCGACCCGGAAGTCAAAAATTACGATTTTGCCCCTCGGGACTCCGACGTTGATTCTGAGGCCGTCTGAGGTTATTTTTCGCGGCCGATGTCATTTTAGGGTGGCCACGCGCATTTAGATTGGTTTCGGTCAAAAATTGGAATTTTGGCTCGGAAGTGAAAAATAATATTATTTTATTCCCAGAACTTTGCAGTCGATTTTCAAGGGCTTAAGAGGCTATTTTCGCGATTCCGACGCCATATTATGTTGGCCACACTCATTTAGGGTTGATATAGCCAAAAATTGGAATTTCGCACCGGGACCGGAAAAATGACCATTTTGCCCCTGGGCCGTTTTCAGTTCCGAATTTTGGGAAAATTTTGGGGTAATTAAATCTGGTTTATCAGCTCAATTATTGGGGGCTAAAGACCCTTTTGCCCTCAATTATTGGATAGGATCGAATGAGGACCGTTAGATTAGGGGTATTTTCGTCAATTGCCCGGATCGGCGACACTTGGCACCTCTTGGCCCACCCTATTTGACCGGTTGGACCGGCCTCCTCTCTCTCTCCTCCCTCATTCGGCCAGACCCCCACCGAGCAGCCCCTCCTCCACGTTTTCCTCCTCCTTCGCCGGTTTTCCTTACCACCCGCCGGAGCATCGCCGGCCGCCGTGCCGCCGCCACGCCGTCTAGCTGCTACTCCGCCTAACCTCACCTCGCCAGCACTACCCTCCCGCCGTTCTCTCTCTCTCCCTCGTCCCCGTTCTCTCTCTCTCCCTTGTTGTCCGTCCGGCCAAGGAACGCCGGAGCACCGCCAGACCGCTGTTCCGTCGCCGTCCAGCCGTCCAGCCCGTCCGTACGTCGTCGTACGTCGCTCCCGTACGTCACTTGTTTTGTACAGTGTCCGTACGGGCTTCCGTACGCCGCCGTCCGTACGGTGTCCGCCGGGAACGCCGCCGCCGGTTCCATTGTTCATTGGTGATCGGCCGCCGTTCCTCGTCACCGTGGTCTAGAATTAAGTGAGTATAATTCCTAAACCCGGATTAGGACTGATAGTGCATTTTCTGGATTGGATTGAGATTATCGGTGTACATTGGGACAAATTAGTGAGTCGAACAATGGTAATAGTGACAAGAATAATATTAGTGAATTATTGGGGTGGCGCGGATTAGTTGAGGATTAAGTTACTGGACTGCCGGGTATGCCCGGGCTGGATGACTTGTTGATTGCTGTGCCCAATTGTGGGAAATTGAATAATGCCATGTCGTGTGACTGAGTGGCCGACCAATGTGGAGTGTGATTGGCCAATTAATGACATGAATTTGACTGGATGCCTGAAATTGTTGTTGCTCATGGAATATTGTACTGCATTACATGACCATGCATTGTGAATGCCGAGAATGAGACGTATGATGAAATTGTGTGAGAATGCGTGCTTGCCATGAGCATGTGATCACCTAATATACCCTGATGCGTGTTACGCGGGGTTCAGATAATAATTGGTAGTGTGTGTATGTGTGATCACAATTCGTCCTGATGCGTGTTACGCGGGGTATGCCGTCCTCATGCACTTTGAAGCAGGACGATGCTCGGTTCGTCCGGAAGACAACCATCCTGATGCGTTTTACGCGGGCTCTGGTTCGTAAGGAGATCAGTGTTGCGCCTCATGTACTTTGAAGCAGGCTAGAGACACTGGGCCAGATCAGTGTTGCGCCTCATGCACTTTGAAGCAGGCTAGACACACCGGGCCGGGAATGGTGTTGACTCGAGTCGTAATAAATATTAATAATTGAGACAGTGTGCAGTGTGAATTGAAACAGGAGCATGGCATAACATTGACATCACATGCATAGAATGCGTGACCCGGCATGCGAGATGAACACTGTGAGCATGAGTATGTGTGTGGCGCACGTGTGATCATTGTATTCGCGCACATATCTTGAGGACATTTAATGAACTGCCTAACCTGCAGGGAAATTCCTATATTCTATCTGGGCCCGAGGGCCCAGGTTATTGTTTGTGTATTATGTTGTTTTGCCTGTCAGGAGATTGCATGTTAGCCTAGCCTAGGCTTAGGGGTTATACTCATTGAGATTCGTCTCACGGTTGTAATAACCCACCTTTTCAGACCCCCAGCCATAAGAGTGTCGTATCCACCGCTTTTTGGAATACCTGTACAGATACATCAATATACAAGTACCTACCCCGCAGGAAATGGGGAATCGTATATAAGATACCGATCCGTGGTGTTTATAAACATGGGTGAATATTTTCATCGGACTCAGGAGTATGTGGCTTGGTGCCTAAGAGATGCCGACGGAAACCTAGGGCAACCCCTTAGGACTTTTGATGCGCCAATCGGTCAAAATGGATTGATGGAACCCATATATGCGGATGGCGAGGTGATCAATCCTCAGGATGTTTACGATGTAGATGGCGTTGATGAGCCTATGGATGGGGAGCCACAGGAGCCACAGGTGATAGCTGAAGACCAAGACTAAGTTGCCGAGGAAGAAGACGAGTTGGAGGACATGGATCTGGATTCTGATGAAGACCACGGAGAGGTAGCTGAGGTAGGGTCAGATGTGGAGATAGGAGCTGATGAAGATGACGAGTTAGGTCTTTACCTAGATCCAGAGTTAGAGCTCGATTCAGAGGATGAGAGGATCGCGGCAGAGGCTATGGACTAGGAGGAGTCAGAGTCTAGTGAGGAGGTCTCTGAGGAGTCGTCAGATGATCCCACCGAGTCCTCAGACCCGGATTGGGAGCCGTAGAGAGAGGCCAGACCTTGATAGGGAGGATCGTTTCTTTTTTACTGCAGTCCCCCTGGTAGGATTAGACGACTCACCCTAGCCACCGGTCCTTTTTGCTTGTGTGGTGTTTGCGGGTTTTGAGCCGGTTGTAAACAAATATTGTAAAAAGGGTTTTCTATAGCAATATAAATATTATGCATGTCCTTCCGTGTTGTATGTTGCCGTCTTGTCCATTGTCTCATATTATTATTGTCAGGGTTTGTTTATTTCTTCCGCTTGTGCTTGATCTTTGTTAGGCGTTGGGTCAGCGACGCTTCCTGGGACGTTGCACACAATCAAATCGACCTTTGCGTGGGATGTTACCGCTTCGTGGGGTACGGGACGTGACATGCACT